CACAGGGCACTGGGCACACTCATGCTCACTCCGCTTTGCCTCACACCGTGTAACTGCCTTGGTCTGTTGTGTGCGGCTGTAACAAAATACCACACACTGGGCAATTTATAATGAACAGAAATTGATTTCTCACAGTTCTGGAGGCTGGGAAGTCCAAGACCAAGGGGCTGGCATCTAGCAAGGTCCTTCTTGCTGTGTCATCCCACAGCAGAAGGCATAAAGGCAAGAGAGAGAGAGAGAGAGAACACAATAGGAGTTCAAATTCATCCTTTCTATTTATTTATTTATTTATTTATTTGAGGCAGGGTCTCCTTCTGTCGCCCCAGCTAGAGTGCAGTGGCATGATCATATCTCACTGCAACCTCATACTCCTGGGCTCAAGCAATCCTCCTGCCTCAGTCCCCCAAACTGCTGGGGTTATAGGCATGCACCACCTCGCCAGACCCAGACTTGTCATTTTATAAGGAACCCGCTCCCACGATAATGGCATTAATCCATTCACTCCACCCTCTCGGCCTAGTCACCTCCCATTAGGCCCCACCTCCCCACGCTGTTGCACTGGGGATTAAGTCTCCAACACATGCTTCCTGGGGGACACATTCAAACCATAGCTGATACGTTCTCCAAACGCACACACTTGCAGAGACACACACCTCGTCCCTTATCACTGCAGTCCTCGTCAGCCATCCCACATTTATTGAGAGCCTGTAGCTCCAGGCCTGGTGCTGGGGCTCCGACATAGAGGAGTCACACCCAGGACTCCCAGACCTCAGGGTGTGCCCAGGCACACAGGTCAAAGGGCACAGACACAGACAGTGACAGTGCAGTGTGGTCAGAGCTGGGAAGCCCAGGAACCGTGGGAACCCAGGGTGGGGAAGCAAGGGGCGCTGACGGCAGGAGTTGTCCTTGGTCTGAATCCCGAAGCGTGGAGCTGTGTCCCGGGGCACAGAGGAGGGCTGGTGGGCAGGAGGATGCTGGGCAGAGGGAACCGCGCTGACTGGGTGTTGGAGGAGAGACTGGGCAGGGCTGTGTGTCAGCTGAGAGGGAGGGCTCCCATATGCACGCTGCCCCTGCCCGAGGTGCCGCCCAGGCGTACTGCCCTGGTCTATGGACCGTGCTAGTCCACGGACCCCAGATCCTTTCAGGGAAGCCCTGTCCGCACCCGAGACTGTACAGGGCAGCACACGCTGGGGCTACTGAACGCTGGACCCCTTCCCCCCGCCCGCGGTGGGAGACCCTGGGGCCCCGCAGGGCTCCTCTCCAGAGGGGCGGGCACCCATTCTCTGGGGCATCCTGACACTTCCATCAAGGCTCTGGAATCTTCCCTCCCTGCCCCTCCTACCTGCCCAGCCACCTCTGCAGGCCCAGTGCCCATGGGCTCTCTGCCCCATCCTCGGCCCTGTGTCGTGCCCCATGCTGTGGACGGAGAGCTCCTTCCTCCAGCAAATGTGGCCAGTGCAGTGGCCTCCCCGTCACAAGCATCACTGGCATTCAAGGCCCTACCATCTGCCCACGTGCTCTTTCCAGCCCGCCTCCTGCCACTGCGTCCCAACCCCGTCTTGGTCCTTGAGCCACACCAGGGACACCCTGGCGCCCAACGGGCCAGGTCTCCTTGGGCCTCTGGGTATCGACATGCTGTTCTGTCTGCCCCAAAGTGAGCCTTTCCCTCATGCCTCCTCGATGCCAGGCACCCACCAGAGCTTCGCCAGAGGAGCCCTGTTCGTTTGTTTGGGGGTGATGTCTACACCCTCTGGAAGGAGTGGGACACGCGGGGAGTGGGGAGCCTGGGGGAGGAGCGGCAATGCCCAGAAGAGGGAGGCGGAGGGGCGGGCTGCAGGGAGCCGGCTGGGGCGAGCGCCTGAGCCAGTGGCCCAGCTCTCCCCGGTCCTGATTCAGCCCCAGCCCCGGTCAGGATCACACTAGAGTCAGAAAGAAATCTTATGTAGATGGGCATCCGAGTGTGCAAAGAGGGCTGGGGACCTCCAAGGTCACGTGGAGGCAGGGACAGGGCCTTCCCAGTCCTGCCCAGCAAAGCTCCCTCCAGTGCACTGGTGCCCCAGCCCTACCCAAAGGCCCACCTGCAGGGAGGCTGGGCGCCATTAGCCGAGACCAGCCCCCTGCCCAGGCTTTCCCAAAAGCATCCACGCAGAGTCCTAGAGCAGGCAGCAGGAGGGCAACCGGTCCTGGCCAGCACCCGGCCCGACGCGTTCCCACCGCGCTTCCCGTCTGTGATCTCGGGCAGCAGGAAGGAGCCGCCGTGTTATTATTATTCTCCTGGCTCACCTGACTGTTGTCATGGCGCCTACAATCACACAGCGGTGGTGCCGCTGCCATCCTGTTTGGGAGCTGGGGCCCCTTATCTGAGCAGACCACACCTCTGCTTCCACTGGAGCCCCGCCAGGGCGCCACGCTGCTGCCCGGAGGTTATGTACCAGCGACAGTGGAAAGCTCATGAAGGGGGCCCCCCACCGAGGACGTCCACACACATTGTGCCGCTGGACACTTCCACCAACCAAGGGTCAGCTGGCAGAAGCTGAGGCCTGAGAGGGTAGGGGGCTTGCCCAAGACCGCCCCACAGATGCCAAGTTTCGAGGCTCTGACAGGCTTTCACCACCCCAGACGGGGAACAGGGGAGGTTCCAATGCCGCAGCCCCATTGCCGAAGGCCCCACTCTCCCTTCTCTGTGCAAGCGGCCCTCAGAGACAGGGAGCGCCTCGGGAGGCTGCGCAGGTTCGGGGGCAGATCTGGGACCACACGGGGTCCCCTGCCCAGCACAGTGCACGGCCTGACCCTGACATGCCACGCTCCCCTCCACTCACGTTCAACCCTGCCCTCCGCCCTCGGGGTCTCTCTGGATACACGGCCTTTCCCAGGAAAGCTGGTGCCCTTCCCTCGGCCTGTCGTGGAGACCCAGCCTGCCTTCTCGTGCCTGGCTCTTTCTGGCTCAGAGGCAGCTGCGGAGCTGTCATCCCAGCCTTTGATGACATCTTCATTTCTTGTGCACTGTTGTTCAAGTGCCCGATCTGGCCCCCGTCGTCTCCCTCAGCCTTTGAACTTGACTGGGGTTGGGGCCGGGTCACCCACTGTCTGGGCCTCCCCGCAGGTGTGAGGCTTCAGGCAATTCCTTCCCGGCCACTGCCCCGTGTTTCACCTCCCTCACATGCAGACACCTGCTGCGTGGTCTTCAGTGCCAATACATCCCCTCGGTCAGCAAATATTTGCCCCCTGTGGTTCAGCCCACCTGTAGGCCACCCAGGGTAGGAGCAGAGGGGAGAGTGGCCATGAGCCAACAGGCGGCTCCAAGCGCCAGTATCATCTCCCGCTGCCTGGCCAGAGGCGTGGGGCCGGGCCCGTGGGGGCAGGCCCTGCTTTGGAGAGCCACCTGCTCTCAGCACACACTGGAGCTTGTCCAGAGGAGACGAAGTTGGATCAACTCTCAAATGCTTCCTGTGAAGTCTGGTGGAGACTGTTACATATAGGTGGTAGTATCTGAGATGATTTAACACATACACGAAATCATGTAGGAGAGTATAGTGCACCCAATGTACCGACCATTCAACTGCAGCAGTTACAAAAAACACCCAGTCACCTCCAGCATGAAGCCTTCACTCATCTCTACATTTGGCCACAGCATTGGCTTCTCCTGGGACCCTTGAGCTCATCGAAAGCAGGACATAGGCTGGTCCATGTGGGTCCCCAGCCCATACCAGGGCTTAGTCCATTTTAGGTGGCATCAAGGTGGTTGGATTGAATCACCAAAGAAGGGGAAAGCAGCAGTGTCGTCTGAGTACCAACCTTGGTTAGGAAGCTCTCCCACGTGCCATCTCCCTGTGAGGAGGGGCTATTAGCCCCATCTTACAGTTAAGGAAATGGAGGCACAGAGAGGTTGAGTGTATTAACCAAGGTCACACAGCATTAAGTGGAAGAGGCAGGTTGGGAGCTTACATCTGTCTGGTCCCAAATGGCTCTGTAATCTTTGTCAATCCATACGAGAGAGAAGGATTTTGTCATATTTTTGTTTTTGAAAAGGAAGTTGACTTGGGGAGCAACTGGGGGTTCCCCAGTCCTGATCCTGTTCCCACTGCCAGAGGGGTCTTGCCTTCATTACCTGGGCAGGTGACATGGGGCAGATGGTCCCCCACCCCTCCTCAGGAGCATCCCCTCCCCCTCCGCCACCCACTCCCAATACCCTTGAAGAGACCATCTTTCCTGCCCTCCCTCTGGGAAAGAAAGCCTGTCCTTGGCCCTCGACCTGCTGGCCCCGTGTAGTCCTGCTGCTGCTCTATCCCCCGTCAGCGCTTGAGGGGGCACAGGGCTTGGGGTAGCTAACTCCTCACAGACTTGGAGACCTAGTAGGCTGACCCACCTACTTTTCAGATTGAAATACTGAGGCCTGGAGAGGGAAGGGGCTTTGGAAGCAATTCTAAGGTAGCCCTTCTCATGCATGTGCGGCACCTTTGTTGAAAGGAGACCTAGGTGCTCATCCTAGCCCCTGGCCCTGATTGCTGGCTGCAAGAGCTAGTATTTAATTGTCATAACAACCCTATGACATTAAACACTGATATTAGGCCCATCTTATAGATGTGACAGCTGAAACACAGGTGAAGGTGACCTTGCCCAAGGTCACAGAGATGTGGCTGGGTTGGAACCCAGGAGTGTGGCTCCAGAGTGTCCATGCTTCGCTATTCTGTGCTTTGCTAGTTCTGGCCTTCCAAGGGGGCTGAGGAATGCTACCCTTGGTCTGAAGTCCCCATCGTCCCCTCCAGGCAACCACTCATCGAGCTCACCACCCACCTACCTGCCCTGCAAAGGAGGTTTTGGCGGGCTATTGTCCCCACGCTCTAGCAAGAGCAGGGAAGAAGGAGGGCCCAGGCGGCGCTGCTGTATTCCCTGTCTCTGCCAAGAGCGCCCCAGCCCAGGCCAGGTGGGCCTCCCCATGTCATCCTGCTTGCAAAGCCAACAGACCGTGGCATCTGCAGACCGTGACCTCCTCCCGGCAGACGGCAGCTCAGCTCTGGCAGCTCCATCGTCAACGCCAACTCCAATGGCTCAGCGCGCTTGGTGGGGCCCAGCCGGGGGGCCCAGCCCCTTGCCTCCTCGAGCCCACCCGTGTGAGCCAGGAGGGGCTGTGGGTGGTGAAGGAGGCTTGGGACAGAGGGGCAGGTTGGCGTGCAGACTCAGCTGGGCTGCAGTGTGGCTGTGTGACTTTGGGCAAGTGACTTGAGCTCTCTGAGCCTTCCTTGCCTCACCCGTTCATTTCATTGGCTCTTTTGGGAAGCCAAGGCGTGGAAACCAGCTCTGTATAGGGTAAACCACTGTGCAGGTGGGAGGGGCTCCTGCTACGCTCCTGTTCTCTCCCATGACCCATTTGTCCCAACCTTTCCAAGTGACCCCTATGGTCACGTCACATTGACGAGGAATGCTCTTGTGCACTTCAAGGACCATTGCCCTGGCTCTAGGGCCAGGTCTGCACACACTCTCACGCAGAGAACCCAGACCATCCCAGGCAGGCGGGGGCCTTGGGGAGCCCCCATCCAGCATCCCCCTGCCTATGCTGGGGAGGCAAGGAGGCCCAGACGGAAGCCGGCCCGGGGTGGAGGTGGGGGTGGTGGTGTAGAAGCGAGTGCAGGAAACGGTGTGGGCTGCAGGCAGGGGGCCGGGCCTGGTGGAGCTGCAGGAAAGTACAGCTTCGGAGTCCAAGAGATCTCCAGTAAGCTTTGGGCCTGGAGATCTGGGGTGCAGGAGGGCCACGCAGCTGTGCCAGTTGCCCCTATACCAGTCTAGGTATATTAAGACGATTTTCCGCTCTGAAGATGGGGCACCTTTTGCGTACGTGTAAAGGTGCCAGCTTCTCTGCTTTTTGTCGTTTATCTCTTCTTGCATCTCCTGTACTTCCCAGGGACTACTCCAGGGCAGGGACTGGGTCTGATGTCTCTGTCCCCAGAGCCCAGGACAGAGCCTGCCATAGAGAGAACCCTTGACGAGCATTTGCTGAGTGACTGAGTGACCTCCTGTGTGTGTCCTGCAGCTGAGGACCCTGTTCAGGGCTTGCACCCAAAGAAGGAGCCCCTCAAGCCCCAGACAGATGGGGGGACATAAAAATTCCCCCTCCCTCACATGGCCAAAGCCCACAATGTGGGTGGCATCCCCTCTGTCCACCCTGAGACCCCCACCAGGACTGTCTACAGGCCTTCAGGTTACGCACTGCACAGGGGACCAACTGAGGGCCTGGGGAGCCGCAGTGCAGCCTGTGTCTGCCCTTTGCCTGCACTCAGACCTCTCCACAGAGCCTCCCACGCCTCCCAGTCACTCCCTTGAGTCTGGGTTCAGCAATTGGAGCAAACTTGAAATACAGAAAGCATCACTATGGCGCTGACATGTGACACGACAGTGTGGTGAGCGGTGGTGACTGTGGGCTCTGTAGCCAGACAAAGCCAGTAGAAGGCCCAGCTTTGCCACTCACCAGCTGTGTAATCTTGAAAAAGTCACTTACCCTCTCTGAGCCTCAGTTTCACAGCATTTTTAAAAATTAAAGTATAATTGACAGAGAGTAAACTGCACCAATATTATGTGTACAGCTAAATTATTTCCCCATATGTAATATCCAAGTAACTTCTACCCATATTATGATATTGATTTTTATCCCCCTGAAAACTGCCCTTCCTGAGCCTCAGTTTCGCCATCTGTAAAATGTGGGCAACGACTTCACAGAGTGTTGTGAGGATGAAATGAGAGGAGGCTTGCCAAGCATTCAGCACAGTGCCCGGCACGCAGCGTGTGCCCCGTCCATGGTGGGCTGTTAGCATTTCCCTCTCGCATTCGCTTAGCAATTTCTACCTCATTGGAGCTCCTGTCCCTGGGAAACTGAGGCTTGATGAGGCCGTAGTCCTGGCTTTGCTGTGTGACCTTAGGAAAGTCACCTCCCTTCTCTGGGCCAATGAAGAGGTCAGATTAGATGTTCCCCTGGGTCTCATCTGACCTCTGGAGTCTGTGTTTAGGCTCTGTGGTCTGGGCTGTGGGACCCTGGACTGTTCCCACTCAGGGGGGTTGGGCCTGGGCCACCACGTGTTCGGGGAGCAGCTGTGTTTTGGCTGCCAGCTGGCTGGGCCAGCCCCTGGGGGTGCTCACGGAGCCCTATCTCTATGTGAACTTGCTCTCAGCCCCAAATTGCACACGAGGCACTTTTAGGGATCTATTTACCTCCCCTGTGGCCTCCCGACCCATTTTACATTTGTCAGGAAGAAATCAGAGGAGCTAGAGTTGCCCCTCCTCACCTTGGCCACCCCTCGGACATTCCTGGATCAGATGGGAGTGGAGGTGAAGACAGAGAGAGGAATAAATCTTGAAAGACAAAGCCCCACGTTCCTCCACGGAGTACAAAGCAACACATTCCAATACCTTCGCAATTCAGCTCAGGGGCATGGAGGCTGGAGGCAGGAGGGGAGAGCAGAAGGCTAGATTTTCATAAGAGCCTGCTCCCCATGAATGGGGAAGCTCAGCCTCGGCCCACTATCAAGGCAACTGCGTCCTGGATCCACTGCCCGCTGGCTGGCCCAGCGTCCAGCATTCTAGCCGCCATGCACTGGGCTGTCTCATACACCAGGGCCCGCAGGGAGTGAGGCCAGGAGGGAGCAGTGAGGCCAGGAAGCTTTGCAGCACGTGACCCCCTGTCGCTGGAGGGCTCAAGCAGACAGGAGAGGTGCGCTGGGCGAGGCTGGAGGCCAGACAGGGGAGAGTTTGCGTTTAGGCTCCCTCTCCTACCAGCTAGTTGACTTTGGACAAGTTGGCTGTTACTTGAGTTCCAGTTTTCTCACCTGTAACCTAAGGATGATCACACCTTCTCCCAAGATTGTTAGGGGGACCAAAGTGGCAATATCTGCTCAGTGCCCAGCCAGAGGCATAAAAATAGCACCCGAAGCAGTATTGCGATAGTGGGATTGGTTGCTTTGCTTTCTGTTTTGACTCTCTGCAGCCGCTGTAACGATTACCACAAACTTCGGGACTTAAACAACACAAAGCTATTATCTTACAATTCTGTAGGCCAGAAATCCAAAACGGGCCCCACTGAGCTAAAACCAAGGGGACAGCAGGGCTGCAGTCCTCTCTGGAGGCTCTGGGGAGAGTCCATTCCCTGGCCTTTTCCAGTTCTAGAGGCTGCCTGCACGCCCTGGCTCGCGGCCCCTTCCCTCTTCAAAGCCAGCAAGGGCCGACTGAGCCTCTCTTGCGCCCCGTCACTCTGACATCGACTCTTGTGCCTCCCTCTTCCGCTTCCGGGACCCTGTGATTACAGTGGCCTCATCCAGGGAGGCCAGGATTATGTTCCTATTTTAAGGCCAGCTGATTAGCAGCCCTCGTTCCATCTGTGATGTTAATTCCCCTTTGCCATTTACCAAGGCACATTCGCAGGCTCCAGGGATTAGGGTGTGGACATCTCGGGGCAGGAGCACGTTCTTCCTACCGCTGCACTCAAGCCACTCGTTCCTCCACCAGGACTGGGAGACTCGGTACCCCCATTCGCGAGGACCTGGTCAGTGCTGCGGACTGGAGTCCTGTGTGTGTTTTCCTTCCTTCCCTCTGCCGAACAGGAGTCGTTACTGCGGTTACCTGTTCCTCTCCGCCACTGTGGAGTGGTGGAGCGTTGGGAGATTTTCGCTCGGCCGCAGGTTGCAAGGACACATCTAACTCTGAAGGAAAAGGATGTGAGTCACCCAGAGACTCTGACCTCAGTAGTTATCTGAGTCTTCAATTTGTCTTCTATTTGAGGGAGGTCCCCTGTCCCCCCAGGGGTACGTGGGGGACCGAGGTGTTTGAGGAAGACAATGCTAGGCGCAGAGGGACAGGGCACCGATGGGGGAGATTCAGGTCGCTGACATCTGAGGTCATGGCTTTGGAGGGGGCTGCAGGGTCTGTCCTGAGTCCCACAGATCATGTGCTGTGGGGCGGTGCCCACTTTGCTCAGTTTCCAGAGGTGACTCCTCTGGTGTGGGTCTGGGGCAGGGATCTGCTGTCATCTTTTCTTAAAGTCAGACAGCGCTGGGCTTCCATTTTGCTCCTTCTGTTTCCAAGATGTATGACATGAGGCAACTCACATCACAGTGTCCCGTGTGCAAGTTACAGAGTTGTGATGGGAACTATCAATAATGAAAGTAAAACACGGTTCTTGGCACTGAGGAGGTGCCCCAGGAGTGGTAGCTATCATCATCATCATCATCATCATCATTGTCATCATCATCATCATCATAGTGGGCCCAGGTCTAGACTCCACTCCTCCTTCCATTCTTTCTCCCACTGCAGCAAGCATGCCAGAAGCCCGATACCTCTCACCGGTATCTTGGGCCTGGATTTCTGTTACCCTGTGGCTTAGAGCCTGGGGCCTGATCCCTGCCCTGCGGAAGGAAATGTTCCATCCTTTGACTCAGGGACGGTGTGACTCCTACCACAACTGCAACTCATCACTCACCCCTTTGTACTTGTCCCCTTCTGTTAGCTCCTCAAGGGACAGGTTGTGTCTGTCATGGTCAGTGTCTTACTTGGTGCCTTGTGTACAGAAGAGGCTCCCTAAATATTTGCTGAAGGACTGAATGAGCGCCCCGTGATTGAACTCCTGGACTGGGCAGCCTGGTGCCATGGCAAGGGCCCCAGGCTCTGGGTGCCCTGGGAGGCCTCCCGTGACCGCATGTGGAGGGGCGGCAGAGGTGCTGGAGTGAGGGGAGGTAGGGAGGTCCCACCCATTTCAGAATCGCAGAGCGGAGGTTGGCAGAGGCCTCACCATCTGCCTTCCAATCAATGGTGAGCTGGGACTTGGCCCAAGCTCTGTGCCCAGGGCCTGCCTCTCAAAGCCCATCTACTGCTAATTTCAGTGCCCACAAATCTACGTGTTTATTTTGATCTGAATGCTTTATTTATTTCACTGATGATTTCTGTTTACAGTAGAGCCTTTTGTTCTTCAAAACGATATTGGATAAGCCAAGAAAAAGGGGCAGTCCTTCTTGAAGCATCTTCCAAAGCCAGTCATGTTGAACTCTACTGGGGCACCAGCCCTACTATTGTTCTCAAAGACCCCAATGAAAGTCGTTACACGAGCAAGCTGCGAACCTAAAAGCAAATGTGTCAAC